CCCTTGTTTAGCCAACTGTCAGCTAAACCATTAGCTGATCTCCTTGTCCATTTGAAGCATGCACCGATCTCCCTTGTTGTGTTGAGGATTTCCCTTATGGGTTGTCTATAAATTCAGGCTCCCAACTTACCAGATTGCAGCCACTCAATCAACAATTTAGAGTCTCCATCTATCTCAATGTAGTGTAACCCCAATTGTTTGGCTTATCTTACACCTTGAAGCAAGGCCATCACCCCCGCTCTCAATGAGTCCCCCACTCCTATTGGTCCTGAAAAACATAGCCACAATTCTGTCATTTTCATCTTTGAATACTCCTATACCTAAAGGGCCCAGGTTACCTCTAAAACTCACGTTGAAGTTCAGTTTCACTCTTTGTTGTGTTGGTGGGGACCACAATTCCTGCACAGTAGGTTTTATGGAAGTTGTAGATGCCAGCACTTCCCAATTCCCGTAAATGTCTTCAGCTGAGAAGTCTTTAAACAAATCCAAAGTTTTCAACCATTGAATAGTCATAATGATTATCCTTTCTACAATTTCCTCCTTGGATGCGTCCACTCCTTTAAAGATCCTATTGTTCCTTTCTTCCCAAACTGACCATTCATCCACCACTTCTACTGCTTCCTTGAAATCATACACTGAAGCTGCAATTTCTGGTGCGATTTTGGCTCGTATTGCAACCACATAAACCTTCTCTCCGTCCACTAAATTGACGGCTGCCGGTGGACAGCCTCTCCATTTCACCCTCACCCGCACCCACTTGACTTTTTGTTTTGCTTCATCAAAATCGTCTGTTTCTAAGCAGCCCCCACACAGGTCTCTAATTTTCCTCACCAAACCTTCGCTCCACAAGTGAAGTCGAAGTCCAAAAATTTTTAACCAGTATGACTCTGAGGGCCCAGTTTCCATTCGCCAACAGCCCTTAGTATCCTCACCAAACCTTCGCTCCTCCGGTGTTTCTTACTCCTATGTTTAAGATTCTTCTAGCTTCTGTTATTGAAGGTAGGGTGAAAAGAAATGTATTCTTCGCCATCCTTCTCATCCTAACCCCCAACGTTAAACCCCAACTTCTCAAGGCCCACACTTGCAACTCCTCAACTGAGAGCGACGTCTCCACAACCACTACCAGACAAGTTTCCAAAAACTGCTTTCTCTTGCTCTCTCCCGTACCATTTGTGATTAGGTAGAAACACACTGTCCCTACCTTCAGCACCACCTTACCCTCCTTTGACCAAGTTGGTAGTTTGGCCATGTCTGCATAAGACTTTGTTCCACTTCTCTGTTCTTTTGACTACGCTTTTTGCAAAAATCTCTCCCTAGCCGCTATCGCCTATCTCGAAACCACCATAACACTTGGATTTCCATGGCCTCTTGATCTTTCCACCAACAAAACTTCCCTCTTTCTTTGTGAGAGAGAGAGGCCAAGAGGGAGAGATAGAGAGAGAAGTGATACTATAATCACTTTATATCCCAATGAACAGGTCCTTTAAGTATATAGTTAGTGATTGTAAAAATTTGACTTCGACAGATATTAGTACAATACCAATACTTTACTTGCTCATTTTGGAACATCTCTTATGTGCTAAAGATTTGAAATGCACATTCCCAACAAAAGCCTTTACTTTTGGAGGTGTAGTGCTAGCTCAAAAGGGATTTCGAGGAAAATGTTTGAGGGAGGAAACTCAAGTAAGGTCAAGAAGGAAACACAAGAGAAAAAACCTAGAATGTTCAAAGTCTAAATATTCTAATCCTCACCCTCACAAGATAAGAACATCTCCTTTAGAGAACTTAAAAAGCAGATGGAGTCCTCAAATTAAAAATCACAAGTTATTAGAATCCAAAGGAACTTGCAATTATTTCCTCAGGCTAAGGCACTAATCTTGGGATTCTTTTAAACTAAAATATTAAAACTTGAGCAAAAAATAAATAAATAAATAAAATTGAATTAGTAAATGTGGCAGAGTGTTCTAGTTCAGACATAGAAGGTGGACTAACCCAATGAAATATGCTGACCATAAAACTAAAATTTTGAAGACATAATTCCATATCAGTTTGCTGGCTTAATCAGCAAGCTAGATCCACCCAAAGTAAGACACCATAACTGTCTTGAATCCTGTGATCTATATTTCCATTGAGTCTTTTGACTTCATTGTTCTCTCTTTAAGTTGTAAATCATCATAAGCAACATATTAAAACACATAGGCATGACAACATGCATTTCACCAGTCTGAGGCGGAAGGCATAGTTCAGAATTCATAAGGTATAAGCCTCCTTGAGAATAGGAATAGGTGTAGGAGAGCCATAACTTTTTAATCTTTATCACATCTATAATTTTTTTTAACAGTAAAGTATTATATTGAATATAAGTGATCAAAGATAGCTACACAGTGTAACCCATGCTCATTGAGATAGGAACTTGCACCTTTTGTCTTGCATGGATACTTTAAGACCAATATTTTTTTTTCTTCTCAGATTTGTTATTTTTTCTTCTTCTCAGTCATAAGGTTTGCATGAGGCACATGAAGCATTCCGGAGGTCATAGATCATAAGGTTGCATGAGACTAAGTGACTAACCCAAATTCAAAAGTATGTCCCAACAGAGAAAATGCATTCCAAGCAAGATTCAAATTATCAACACAATACACCTGATACATGGCGTATCATATTGGTATCTAAAGGCATGGGCACAGAGCACAGGTGGAACAGCACAACACCATTAAGGACCGCTAAAAGTTTCTAACAGCTAGCATAGGTCAACGAATTGCTATTCAATAACTCATCCAAACTTTTTGACAGTTTTATAAGTTGACCCAACAGTTTAAACCACCAACATATATCCAATTACACCAGCAGTCAATTCAGAGGGGCATGCCTCCTAGAAGAAATGAAGACCTTTGCAATCAAATTTAGTGGCATGTTAAAGAAAGTACATTACTAAATTCCAATTTCCAGGTCAAATTCGATTGAAAGAGCCAGAAACATGCCTCCTAGAAGACATAAAGACATTTGCATTCAAATTTTATGGTTTATCTTGAGATCAAATGGGAAGTGCTGAAAAAATCTACTAATCAATTGAAGCTTATCTACCTATTAACTAAAAATCATTTTGAAGTCTGCCTAGAATATCAGAAGGTGCTCCTACAACAATGGTTGAGAAAGAGAAGCAGAAGTTATAATTTAATCAACATAGTATTAAATTATTAATATTTTTCATTTACTTCAAAAGACTGTTGAATCAATACATCCCATAAAAGCATAAATAGATAAGGGTGGAACAGCTATCCTTAAGCTCCACGGTCATTATAAAGCAGAGACAAAGTTATAACTTAATCAACATAGTATTAATATTTTTCATTTACTTCAAAAGGCTGTTGAATCAATATATGCGGCAAAACATAACTAGATAGGAAGAAAAAACTATCCTTAAACTCCACAATCGTTATAAAGCACAGTCAAACAATTAAGAAATAGAACAGAGAATTAACTAAATTCAAGGATTTACCTCATTTCCTTGATGTACATAAGCTGTAGATATTATTGCTTTTTCTTACTTTTGGGCTTAGAGGGAATTTTTCCATATGCCATAAGCCTCGATTGTGATAGTTTTAGTTCAGCCTGGCGGCGCCTTCTCCTGCTTCTCCTAGATGTGGTGCCCACTTCACCATTCAGTTGCCCAGCCTCAGCTTTATCTTGCTCCATTACATGTTTTGCCAAAGTTGCAGCATGATCATCACCCTTTTTTCTGTGCTTTCCAGCCTTCAGGTTTCTCATATGTTTGCCTTGCAACTCTGACTTATTCTTCATTTTCAAGTTGTATCTCTTCATTTTTGGCACCTTCCATTCCTTTTCCCGGTAAGGAGCAATCTTTTTTAGAGAAACATATTGATTTAGTTCCTTGTCATCCATCATTAAAATCTCTGAAGCACCTAAACCATATCTCTGGGGAAGAACTGAAGTGTACTTGAACCTTGTCTTTAAGTCTCCTATTGTATCTTCATAATCCAATTTGTAGTACTCCTCCATTGCTTTATCAAGAGCAACCTTTTCATAGAGAGAGATTTTACGTTTCCTCTTGCGTTTACCTTCTTGGGGCAGTTCTTCTTCTTCTTCGTCTTCTTCTTGGTCTTGTGCATCCGAGAGTTCAACATCTTTCTCATCTGCTTTCCGTTTTAAAATTTTTTCTCTAGCTGCTAAGAACCCATCACCAGATCCACACACATCCCAACCTTTCAGAAGCCCAAGCAATTCATCTTCCTTGTCAAAATCCGGTTTCTCAATATCAACACTGTCCTCATCCCCCTCACCACGGAAACCAGGGTCAGCATCCACCGCATCATAGTAATCCACGTCGAATGTCTCCTTCATCTTCCTGTCGTATTCTTCAGGATCAAAATCCTCTTCTAGATCATCTTCATTCAAAGCGCAATCCCCGCCTTCAGCTATACCCGCGATAGCCCTTATCTTTTGGAGCTTATCCATTATTTCTTTCTTCTTTACATTCTTCAAGCGTTTCAGTTCTTCTTTCCTCTCGAGTTCTGCTTGAGCCAACCTCTCTTCCTTGCTCTTTCTTTGCTGCTTCCTTGCATTCGTCTTCTTCCGCACAGACCCCTCCGTGAAGCGGGCATGACCCAGAACCCGGTCTCCAGCACCCTCCTCGAACCGGAAATTGTACTCCGCCTCATACTTCTCTTGCTTCTCTACCTCGTCCTCATCCTCCGAAATCCCATAAAGATCTTCTTCAGAAGATTTTGCACCTTTATTAGCATCCTTGTCGATCCACATTTTGTTCAGAAAGTAGTTCTTCAAAAACATCTCATTCTCGTCCAACTTCTCATCCTCACCAAAATACTCATCCAACCTTTTCTGAATTTCATTGATATCCTCATCCTCCCCATCCTCTACTTGGGATTTTTTCTTCTCTATCAGAAAATCCCCCTCGTCACCATCAAAATCCTCTTCGGCCGCATTTAAGAAAGCTTGTCGAAGCTCCTCTTGCTCCTCCGAGTAGCTCTTCATACGGGATTTTGAGTTATTATCATCGAATTCTGGGCCCTCTTCGATCAACTGTTTCGCAACAACATCTTTCAAATACATAGGCTTCTCCTTCGATGACTTGGGCTTCTCTTCTTCTTCTTCTTCCTCGTCATCTTCTTCATCTTCAGATTCAAAGAGCTTAGTATCCTTCTGGTTAATTATCGGTTCCTTCTTCTTGACCTTAACAAGGGCATCTAAGAACTGTAATTCTCCTTTACCTGAATTGATCAAGACCTCCTCGTCTTCGTCGTCTTCAGATTCCGAAGAGCCGTCTTCGGAGTTATCGACCAGTCCCCTTTTCTTCAACTCCTCTAGTCTCTGCAAATCCTCTCGTCTTTTGTTGTGCTCGAAACGACGAGCGAATTGTTTGTCGATTTCAATCTTCGAAATGTTTTCATCATCTGAACCAGATCCCTCGAATAAATTCAACCCCATTTTTTTCCAGAGACAAACGACCGAATTCGATGCCCTGGCTTGATCGTCTAGGAGTCAGGGTTTTTATCTCCCATTATTAAGTATGAACCACAAAACCCTAAAAGCCTAAACCCCCGGCTTTGCTTGCTGTTTCGATTTAATATGTCGGAGCGAGCAAAGAAAATGACGTGGCAAAAAATTAGATGTGGGAATCGAATCCGAATCTGTTCACAACAAAATACTTTTCCATCAAGTTTTAACATGATCTGTATCGCACATCCCGTCATGATGAGATGTGCGGATACAGAAAGCTTTGGAAAAGTATAGTGTTATGAGCCGATCCGAACTGATGGGATGGTAGGGATCTGCTACCAACAAAACAGCTATATTCAAGTATTCATGATGGATGACATCCGGATTTTCTACCCACACATTAACATCCCATCCCCTTATATGTTATTATGGGATGTTTCCAATGCAAGGAAATCGTGTTAGGTGGGTAGGCATGGTAGGAGATACGAAGTCGGTGATAAGGTCATGTTCACCGAATTGGCATCAGCACCCTACAAAGCGTGGCCCACGACCCATCCCGTCATGACAAATAGGGAATATATTCCCAATGCATGTAGAGTATTTATAGGGCGCCAATCTCATCTCATGCTTACCTTGAATAGAACCATTTTCTCTAAATTGAGATTAGCTCTTTACAAAGCTCATCTCACACTGATCTCATAGGTACATCCCACCATGTAATGGGAACATCTCCAATGAATTATAACATTAGTACGGGAGACATTCTTTATGCATGATTGAGAAATGTTGTAAGGTCGATGAAAGGGGCACTATTATAAGGAGCAGATCTAGATAAAAAGTAGTGAAAGTTGAGTTCGGATTTACTCATAAAATCCTCCATGCACCCACTTATATAGCACATTGCATAACATCTCCCATACTAGTATGTTTTCATTATAGGGGGTATCCAATGCACAACTACAAGTGATGTGAGGTGGGTGTGAGGAAGAAATCCGAATTCACAAAAGTCACCAGTAGGTGAGTGCTAGTACTAGCTAGTCAACCATCTTTTAGTATAACCAAGGAATTCAAAGCTTTTAATGTTCGGGCCCCACCTTGAAATAGATGAAGTGATGTCTTATGCTAGTGTTAACCCTACCCAAAAACCATGTTATAGTAAAAGTGAATTCAGGTACTCATAGGGTAAGGAGAAGATTAGGGTCTTATTCACATTATCAAAATAAATTCTCAAGCTCCTCATTCTCTCATCTATTATTCTTAAGGTTATGTTTGGTTTGAAGAAAAACTTAAGGAAAAGAAGAGAAAGGTAAAGAAACATATACAAGTTTTGTAAAAGTTTCTTTACCTTTTCCTACTTTTTCCTTCAAACCAAACATTGCCTAAATGATAGCATATACTTTATGAAGGCTCATTTAGATGAATTAGATAATCTAAGACACCTTTTTTTGTCACTTTTTCAAAATATGTCTGGTCAAGTTATTAATTGTGAAAAGTCAATTTGGTGTTTAGTAAGAAAATCCACCCCCAAATTATCAAGCATCGTTTCCATAATCTAAGCATTAGGGCATTCATTTATTATTGCACCATAATAAATATACCTCTCTTTATTTTATCTTGGATAATTTGCAATCCAAACTAAGCCACTGGAAGGCTTCTGCTGCATGCTCTTTCTATGGCAGGGAAGCAAGTTCTTATCCTATATATACTTCAAAACATCCCTACCCATTGTATGAGTATGATTAAATTCCCTAGGGAATTGTTAATCAAATTGATAAAATTCGACTAACTTCTAAAGGAATTTAGGTTTTAACTCTCTTTCTCTCTCTCCTATCATTTGGTCTCTTGGTATAAGCTCTACCAACCCAAGCCCTAGGGAGTTTAGGGTTTAGGGACACGGCTATTGTTAACTCCTCTTTCCTGAAGAAGTTAGCCTACAAGTTCCTGACTCATCGTGAGATAAGCTTTGGTCCAAACTTCGGCACATTAAGTATTTGAGGTTCCATTTGGAAGGAGTACAAATACAAATATGTAGAGTGCAAAATCTTGTATTTTGTATGGTCTTTTATGTATTTGTACTATACATATTTACATTTGTACTCTTTCCAAAATGAACCTCAAGAACAATCATTTATTTCTTTATCAAATTAATTCTTAAGACTCATCCTATTGGAAATTCGTTTCACCTTATCTAGGGCAACTATTATCTAGGGTTGGTTATCTGGTTACACTAGGTTCTTTCCTAAATTAGTTATTTACTTGTCCAGTCGCTCATGCCATTTGTGATGCTCCTATTTCTCTTAATTTATGTCATTTTTACTGCAATCAAAAAGAACAAGCTAAAATTTGAAACAAAAATAGGTCAGAGTTTACACTTAAATCATTTGCACTACCATAGTTTTGCATCAGTACAAATTTATTTGCATTGCAACCAAACACAGCCTTAGACTCTAAAGTTTCTTGGATTTGGATGAAAAATCATAAAGGGAGTGTTCTCTACCTAACTGGCTCATGGGATTTAATTAAGGACTTCCTCTCAGCCTCTCCTTCCTCAAACTGTTAAGTTTTGTTTAAAATATGCGTGGAAGTTATGCATTCTTCACATATTCAAACATTTCATATGGCCTTGCCTTCGGGATTTTCTTCCCTTGAAATCTGTCATTAGGTGGACTAATTCTAATTCAAATTGTGTGCTGCTATAACTCAGTAGTAGAAACTATAGAGCATCTCTTTGGTGATCGTAACTATGTTGTAGCTATTTTTTTTAGCCTATGCATAGTTTCCGTTCAAATTCCATACTCAATCTTTTTGTTTTCAGCTTATTTTTTGTTTGATTAATACTCTTCCAAACAAAAATTCTATCAAAGAGGTGGTAAGTTGGATAAAATTATAAGGCAACTCAGCTAATTAACTAGGTCCTCTTTGGGAGTGCTTCTTTTAAGCACTTATCGAGAAAATCACTTGATTCCAAAAAAAATACTTGGAAAAGGCACTTATATGGGCATTTGGTAAAAAACCCTAATAAGTGCATTTTCAAGAGAATAAGCCCATTTTGAAGAACCCCAAATTTTGGGATTTTTAATTGGTGTTTGGCATTGGTGTTAGGATCATTGCACTATTTTCTCATAAAAAACGGTGTTGGGCATGTGGAGTTGTAAGTACCTTTGGAACTAGTGCTGCTACATTAGCGTTTTCTAAGAAAATAGCACTGGTTTTGTTTGGTACCAGTGCTGCCAGCAACATTTTCAACATTGATCTATATTATCCAAAGTCCAAGATGATGACATGTTGATGCCACATCATTGCACTGCTGGCAGCAATATGTCGTCTTCTCAGAAAACATTGAATTCGGTGTTGCTCCATACCACACTTTCCTGATTTCCAATGCATGGTATGGAGCAACATTTTTTCTACACAAATAGTACCAGACAAGAGAGCATTGTTTGAAACACCGTCGGAATCAGACGCTAGAAATTATGTTGTTGCCCTTAGCTCCATATTTGGCAGGAACAATTGGCGTCGTCTATAGGAACATCTTCAAAACTTTTCCTTAAGAAAAAATAAACCTAGTTTAATCAACTCGTGTCCCTGAAATGGCTGACAAGCAAGGCCCATCCCTAACGTCCGGAACTTAGTCACGATTGACCAGTTCGAGCTGGTCCTGAACAGGTTGGACAACCTAGCCCAGCGATTGGACAATATAGGGTGTCTGGCAAGAAGCTACCCACAGGGTGGCCGCCCCATTGGAAGCCATGGACAACACAGCGGGCAATCCGCCCGTACCCCGTTAAGCCAGTGCTTGGCCGGCCTTGAGAAGCCAACCCCTCGAAGTCAGATAACAACAAGTGGTGTCACCAGTCAGATAACAACAACCCCGTCTCAAGACCAGGGAACCAAGGGGGCACCCCGTGGGGTCCCACACCAAGCACAAGAATCTCAGTCGTCAACACCATCGCACAGTGACCAGCCGGAACAATGGCGTTTGCTCGGGCCACTACAGTCCCCCTCCAAGGGCGGGGGATCTCATCCAGTTTCTGACCTTCGCGACCTCTTCAACGATCATCGTGCCCGCAAGGCTCAGGACATGCCGGTGTCCCAAGTCAGAGAGCATCACTTCGAGGAATGGGATCTCACCCTTAGAAAAGTCATGGTCTCGAGCCAAACGTTGGAAAGCTTAGCCCAAACTGATGAGGGCCCTACAAAATCAAGTAAGTAATAGGACCCAACACCTTTCAACTGGAGTATATGGGTGGAAGACCTCGTCCCCAGATCTTTCTTTGTGTAAACGTTCTCGTGCTCTCTAGCTACCAGGACCCCTCTACCGGTCGACCCCAGCAACTGTTGATAAGTTAGGCCACGACCCCAGCCTCATCCTCAAAGACCCTTAAAGAAGCGAGTCTTTGGAGGCCAAAGCGCCAAGGTCGACCAATTACTTAATAAAAAACACGATGAATGACACACTAAGTAAACAACACTTCCCCACTAAAGCAACCACTTGTGATCTCAACCACAAAGCCCTTGCGTAATGAAGCGTTGACCATGATCCTAGCCTCGGCCATAATTACCTTCTTTCTTTTTTGCTAAGGCAAGGAGTTCCAGGACTTCAATAGCTTTTATCGAGCGGCTTATGGTGTCGACATCGGCTTAAAAGACTATAATACGTAACGTCCACACAAAAGACTAAGTAAAGAATATTTTTGCAATAAAGAATTACTTTATTAAATGATGGCAAGTTTCTTTACAAAGATGGCTCTTCGGGGGGAAGCATCGGTCCCTTTTACAAAAAGAAGAACATCAAGAAACTTAAGTTCCATTTATTGAAGTGTCTTTACAAAAAAAAAAAAGGCCTCTTATGGGGGAGGCGTCGGCCCCTTACAAAAAAGAAAGAAGAAAAAATATACAAATTTCAGGGGCACACAGGCCCAAACAAAAGGAATAGCATCTTTTGGAAAAAAACTTAAGTTTCATTTACTCAAGTGTCTTTACAAGAAAAAAGGCCTCTTATGGGGAGGCGTCAACCCCTTACGAAAAAGAAAGAAGAACAAATATACAAGTTTCAAGGGCACACAAGAAAATAAATGAAAAAAATATGGTTTAGATGGATGGCAATGGTACTCA